GGTGTCGCCTTTTTATTAGTTGACAGTTTTTCTCGTCTAATTGCTAGGCAACGGATTTTCATTACCTAAACAACCCAAATTTACTCGGTAAAATACAAACCTCTTGTGCAATTATAAGTGATAATTGCACGTGTGGTATTTCAGCGACAATTCAACTCATGTATAAAAAATCGCATAAGCCGCAGTGAAATTGTCACTTTGACAGCGGCAAAAGTTACCTGCAACTTTTCCAGCGACAAATGCACTAGTGGTTTTTTCACTTATTCATTTTCGAACCAATTATCGCATTATCCTTTCCCATATGACTAGTTCGACGTCTGTCAGTAATTGATTAGTTATGTGAATTTCTTGTTCGTTAAATTGTCCTGCCGAATTACACTCGAGGTTTGTATTTAAACCGAGTAAATTTGTGTTGTTGCAATTCAAATCTGTTGCTTTTTAGCAATTGAACTCGAAAAACTGTCAACCTAAAAATGCTCCACCTGCGGTGTCGCATTTTTATTAGTTGACAGTTTTTCTCGTCTAATTGCTAGGCAACGGATTTTCATTACCTAAACAACCCAAATTTACTCTGTAAAATACAAACCTCTTGTGCAATTATAAGTGATAATTTCACGTGTGGTATTTCAGCGACAATTCAATGCGATTATTCAATGACATTTGTCAAACTTCCGCCAGTGAAATGACGCGAAATTTTGTCGTATTAACCGGAACATTCTTCTTAGTTTGTTAATCAATTTCGACAACCGACTTATCACCACATCTTTTAATTTAATCACTCATAACGAATTACCTTGGAGCACAAAAGTTCGAATAGAATCAATAGCAAAATGAAAAGCAACTTCCATAATTTATTTTGACGTTTGTTGTTGTCATGGAAATACATTCGCGTGGGTTACAGTGACTTTATAGAGACAGTGGCGACAACAGGGTATCTCGTTTTTGATTGGTTGCTGGTCCCGGTCGCCATGTTGGAGCTAAATTCCAAACTGGCCAATAGAAAGCATCGAAAACGACGCGGTACACTCCATGCTGATTAATTATACTGTTTGGACAGTGTCATCTGTAATTGTCACGGCTTCACGTTAGTAGTTTACACTTTGTTTCTTGTATTTGCTTTATTTTACGTTTTCCGTCGCATCCGACGCATATAGCCGAGCATATAGCTTTGATTTTTGATATTACCTGTAAGGTATGTAATTGGTAAATCGCTTGAAGTGTTTTTAGATGTAAAACTGTGCCTAACCTTACTACTGGTAATTGATGTAAAAATTTTTTCAGAAGCCCTAAATACCTAATGAGTTTAGAGAGAAAACTGGTTAGAGAAGCATCTTATCCGAAATTTAGCAGCAAATTCAATTATGGTTATGGATAACGCAATTGTGATCATAAATACCTACGCTTGAATTGGTTTAATGTTTAACATTGATGATTGCTGGAGCACAAGGAATATTGATCTCTTGTACTAAATTGGACTAAATCAACGTGTTTTGTCTTCCATTTAAGGGACTAAAGTAATACTTTTTATCCCGGAAGGAGAAACAGGGGACAAGGGACAAGAAGTGACAATACACACTAAAATGTTAAACACAATTTAATGATTAATGGTTACCTTTATATGTACAATTTGGATATTGCACCATATTTTATACGTATTACACCATTTCCCATATCTTTTTGAATTTGGCAGGCAGTGGTTTTCCCATAGCATGTTCTGCAAAGCTTTTTATTATTCTACGGTCATAATTTGACATGACAAGGTATATTGATCCTACAATCAATTTGTTAGCTCCAATATGGCGGATTATTATAAGTTGTCGCCACTGTCCTTATAAAGTCACTGTAGCGTGGGTAATTATGCTTAATTTTTCTTTTGATTCGTTGAATAGTCCTCCGAATACCATTCGTAGTCGAAGTATTTGTAGATTATTTTTGAGCTGCTGCTCCACTCATGCTAGTTACGCTTTTTAATACCACTCGCGCAAGCGCTCGTGGTATTAATCAGCGTAACTAGCATTCGTGACAGCACCTCAAAAATATTCGACAATACTTCGACTACTTATGGTATTATATATGAATATACAACACTTCTGTCTTATAACATAACTTGGAAAGGTGATAGTGAAAGCATAATCCGGCCATTACGCCAAATTTGGAAATATTGTCGATTGTAAGCCACTCTGAAAATTTCAGTAGCACGATCATTTTTCCATATTTGCTAGCTCCGTAATTAATAAGGTTTGGGGACCCAAAAAACTAGAGAAAAATAAGTGTTTCGGTTGATTTTCCCCCGCGATCGACGCGATACGCTTGCTATTGACGGAGAAATATCAGAGTGCGATATCAACGAAAAAAGAAGTTTTAAAATAAATCCTATTATCCGATTGGACCCAATTGTGAATCTAAACCATCCGGGGGGACACAGAAACACACACACACAACAAATTTCCGTCAAAATCCGTCCAGTCGTTTAGGAGGAGTTCGACCACAAACACAAGAATTTTATATATAAAGATAAAAGATAAATAAAATTTGCACTTTTATCTTTATGTCTTTGGTTTGCTCAGGAATCACAATGCTCTCAATGAATCAAACCGAGCCTGAATGATCACATTTTAAGTCTACCGCTTCTTCATCTTGCAATAATCTGAGGGGTGTATTGCAATCTTTGAAATATTCAGTAAATGGTGAAGGATGCGATTAAGTCATGAAATGTGGTAGGTACACTACTAACCGGCAATTACCAAACCGACGACGACTAGCCTGCGCTATACCAAACCGGTGCCGATCGTACCGGCGCTCGGTCAAACCGGCGCTGTGCCTTGCCGGAGCTCGACCAACCGGCGCTCGTTCGACCGGATGAATTCCTATTTGTGTGGATTGGATCTATTAAAATATTAAATATTAAAAGTTACGATCAACACCAATGCCGACAGAAAAGTTATATGTACTTAATTAATCTGATTCCTCTTTTTTGATCATTTTTTAAATCATAGTTAAAGTTCAAACCCCACAACATCCCACCTAAAATAATTTGAAAATTCCATCGGCATGTTCATATTATGGCCATCCATGTTATCATTCCAAATTGTATGTTACATACTTTGCAGATTGTATCGACTGAACAAGTGCCTATATGCCAGTTTGACAATCGCCGGCATGACCAAGAGCCGCGCCGCGCCAGCTTGACAAACGCCAGCATGACCGAGCGTCCGCTTGACATGTGGCCGGCTTGGTGTGACGCCGGTTCGTGCATTGCGGGTTTGGCAGTTGCCGGTTTGTAATCGCCGGTTTGGAATGTTCCGATGAAATGCCACTAGGCGCCAAACAGTATACTCTTTGCTAGGCGCAATGCAAATGTCGGGGGCCTTTCGTGCACCTTAGATGGGTAGGTCTCTAGATAGGTAGTTTAATGGGTCTATTGTGACATAAACCAAATAAAAAAACCTGTACATTTTCAATAAGCTTGTTACATGTGCCATATAGGTCAACTGTGCACAGTTTGAACTGAATCAGTCCAAGTGTTTGCCAGATATCGCGTTCACAAACAGAAAAACAGACAGACATGATCGGCTTGTTATATGTGGCATATAGGCCAACTGTGCAAAGTTTGAGCCGAATTGGTCCAAGCGTTTGCCAGTTATCGTGTTCACAGACAGACAGACCCCACATCGGCTCTCCTAAAAAGCTAGCATCGCTTTGCTCTGGCGCCTAATAATTATTTCATTTTTTGATGTATGAACTATGTATGAACTATATTGTTCTTGCAAAATGGATGGATGGATGTTCCTGGGACCGTTAATATGATATCGAACAAATTTCAAGTGTAGTTATAATTTGTTTGATATTATCGATAATTTGAGATATAATACTCAAGTGGCCGATAAGAAAATTGTAAAATAAGTTGCTTATGTGGGTCTTGTCTATAAGTGACGTGTAAAAAAGTAAAAACAGAATTATGAACATAAATATACTATTCTTATTAACTTTCTCTGTATTCCATAATGCATTTGGTTTGTATTTTTACATGGGAGAAACTCAACGAAAATGTTTTATCGAGGAAATTCCGGACGAAACAAATGTTATAAGTGAGAGTCGTAAGTAGTTATAGTGAATATTATTAACTTTTATAAACTGCAGTGGCCTATAGCGTTGAATTGCACGGTCTTGATCCTGGTGGTGGTGGTACAATGCTTTCATCCGATATTGCGCTGCACGTTGAAATCACTGACCCAGAGAACAAAATACAGTTGTCTCGCACATATAGTTTGAAAGGTCGTATATCGTTTACGTCTCACAAATCTGGCGAGCATAGAATTTGTATGAACTCTAACAGTACTGCTTGGTTTAGCGGTACTCAGTTGAAAGTACAGCTCGAAATTCAAGTTGGTGTAGGGGCAGTTAACTATGAAGAGATAGTGAAGAGAGAAAAATTATCTGACGTTCAGTTACGAATTCGACAACTGTTAGATCAAGTGGAACAAATTACGAAAGAACAAAATTATCAACGGGTAAAGAAAGCGTAATTGCTGAAGTACATACCAATTTGTAATAATTTGAATTTTAGTACCGCGAAGAAATTTTCAGATATGTGAGCGATGACACAAATCACGTGGTTTTATGGTTTGCAGTAATACAAGCAGTAATTGTATTAATGATGGGTGCTTGGCAAATAAGGCATCTCAAATCATTTTTTGAAGCAAAAAAGATAGTGTAAAACTTTAGTTATCTAAATAATAATTTAGGGTTTTCAATGGACATTTAAGTGTACCTACCTCTACCTACAGTTTTACATTAATAAATTTGTAATTTAAGTATTACCTATGTCACAGATTAACTGAGTCTGTGCTTATGTGCATGAACTTATTACACTCATCCTTTGAAATATTCAAAGACTCATCTATCTGCTTTATTTAAAACATCGTGTCAATAAAACTAAGTTTACTTTTTTTAATTGCTGTGTGAATTGTGATATACCTGGACATCAACTGTCGATGTTTTTAGCGCATTTTTTAAGAATTAAAAAATATGTGCTAGTGTTTGAGTTTTGTCCGTCCGTCCGTCCTTCCTACAACTGCCGTTTCGAACTATTTCTAGGGAATGGTCCTAGAGTCCTGAAATTTGTTGCAGTAGGTAGCCTATATCTTGAAGGTGTGCCAAACGGGCATCAAATTTCGCTGTCTAAAAGGCCCCCCCCCCCACGAATTATTTCATGAGGTGCTGTTTTTGAAAGTAAAACTTTTACATACGACAACCAATTGGTGTAAAATTTTGTATACGCATGCCTTTAGTGGTGTCAAGTTAAACTTTTTAAAGGGGGGGGTAGTTAACTTTCAGGGGGGGGTAAACACATGTTCTATCTTCATGGTATTCTAATGAAAGGTCTCATCGAAATAAATTGGTTTGTACAAACTATAACTTTCCCGTGCGACTTTTCGAGATCAGTGAGCGACGGGGCGGAGGGGGGTTAAAATTGATTTTATCTCTCATTGCATTGTACTTAAAGGTCTCAACGAAAGGAACCGTTTTCTACCTTTGTACCAACTTCTGTCCTTCTTTCTGTCTTATCAAAATAAGGGGTGGAGGGGAGGTGGTTTATCCTTCATGGTACTCTAATGAAAGGTCTCAACAAAAGGAATTAATTTCTACCAACCATAGCCCTCCTCCTCGACCTCTTATCGTGATCGGGTGTACATATTCCCTTATACCTCAAGAACGGATTGCCGGAAGAGGGTAATCAGAATCACTAATCACAAAGGGCGATTGAGACGTCTGCAAGAAATATATCCATTGGTGATGTCAAAGCAAAAGCTATTTCGGTTTAAAAAAAATGCGCTTTATCTGCACATGAGTTGTGCACAATTTATACTTGTTTCAAGATACTTTCGAAGTCATCAAGATAAATTTGTTTCGATTTCATTATCAGTTTTTGCCATTTATTTATGATCTTTGACCTGACCCACTGTCCCAATTTATCCACTTTATCTGTCTCAAAGGTTAACAATTTGTGTCATGTTCCTACATAATACATACTCAGTATAATTTATCACTTTTTACAGTGGGAAGAATTGAACAATACGTTACAGCAGTCTTTAAAAATGATTAACAAATATCTTACAGTTTTAACAGTCACCTGCATAATATCAATAAATGGAATATCTATATTTGAGGCTGGACCACCGAAACCTACCAATCATGCTTTAGTAGCAAGGGAAGTACTTCATAGTTCTGGTAAGCATGTGGTTTATTTCACATATAAGGTACCTATACTTTGCATAATTTCCAATTTTTCTACCTCCTATCAATCATTCGAGTGTATCTACTGATGTGCATAGAATCTATTTCAGTTTTTATAGCAAGTCTTTAACACTTAACAGTGGCGGTCCCAGGATTTGGTAAAGGGAGGGGTCCAAATAATAAAAGAAATCTCGCATAATGGAAATGAGATCGATACAAAATTGATGAAAAAATGGGCAATGGGGGAGGGGGAGCGGGCCCCCACTGGGACCGCCACTGACACTTGATAGTGTATAAGCTACAAAGAACAAGGTGCTATCAATGCATTGACAAAGATAAGAGTTATGATTTAATATTTAACCTCTGACCACTGAAGCTTGAAAATTACTATTAACTTGCGCCTGCGTCCTCCTGTTTAGTGCTGATACGATGTTGAAAAATGTTAATCTATTACAAAACCATGCTTACAACTTTCATAATAAGCATACTGGCAAATGACAAATCAAATACTAACAAACATAAAATAACTACTACTATTTTGCAAACGTTACACGATAAATTGGCAACGTTTATATTCCAGAAATAAATTTCGCTAAAATATTCATTATTAACGAGCTCCTAGCGAGTTATAATTTTGCGATGTCTGTCCGTCTGTCCGTTAAAACGATATCTCGATAACGAATGGACCGATTATGATGTAGGTGGATTCTTTATCAAATTTGTAGACCGGAGTTGGTGAATTGGCAATATAGCCCAAAAAATAAGGAAGGCCCTTTTGACATCTCCGTGAGTTATGAACCGAATTGCATGAAATTCAATATGCGTATAGCTTTAGTCATATAAACCCAAATTCCAAAAGTTGAGCCTAATCGATCAACATTCGCAGTGCCCTTTTCGCATCTCGACCATTTACAAACCGGATTGCAAACTTTCTTATTTATGAAATCATTTAAATGAAATTTGATACATAGCCTTTTGGAATAAAGCAAATGTAACCCCAGTTTCAAAATTTGATTTTGTGCACGATGTGCAGTGCCAATTTTCTTATTTATGGAAGCAATTAAATGAAATTTTATACATATACACTTTAAATAAAAACATAACTAACACCAAGTTCAAAATTTGGTTTTGCACATGCTATAGCCATACCCAGCAGCTCGTTTTCTATATTTTTTTACACGTTTATTTAGCATGGGTATCGCTTTCGACTATTTCGACAATGCCAGACATCAAGTCGTTCCCATATGCAGGTTTAGAATCCATCGTGGACGGTATTGATGAAAAGGGAAATGGAGTACCATACTTCTTTGTCACAGCCTTAGATCAAGCGATCCTTGATATTCAAGTAAGTGTATGGAAATTCTATAGCCTGTCTAATTTAATGGAAATTTTAGGCTGATAAACGCTGTAGTGTGATGGCATCAATGGCTCAACAGGACTGGTGTGTTAAATATAATCTGGATCAAGAAGACCCAAGATGCCAACGTGTTGTATTAACTGGAAATTTTGTATGGGTATGTTCTGAATATTTAGTTTAACACTTCTATCAAAGAGTACCCTTACTCTTTGCTTCTATTTTAAAAGATTTATACCAACCAAAGTTTTAAAGGTGCATAGCAACTATTTTGTTTAAACAATGATTTAAATAGAAATTTTACTTTACTAGCAGCTCAATATACAGAGTGTCCAAGACAAGATGAGTCGATTTTAGACCTATATAATAAGAAACTGATACGAATAGATTTCTGAAAGTATCTCACTATATTTAGACTTTATGCTGTATACTGTACTTATTGTCTATAGCTTGACAACAAAACAGAAGAATACACCAAGGCCAACGAGAACATGCTAAGGAAACATCCCCAGTTTAAATATTGGCCAAACGGTAAATATACTGCATAACTAAGTACCTCTGGTACATAGTTTTAATTTTCACAGCACACGACTTCACTCTTGCGAAAATGGATATTAAACAAATCACACTATTCGACTGGTTTGGTGGAATAAAAACAATAGACCTTAAGGAATATTTTAATGCATACGATAGCAATGAAATTTGAATGCTTGGAACAGAATGGGAATGACATGAAATTTAAATAAACTGTTTTCATCCTGTAAGCTTCGTTTTCTATCACTTGAAAAAACTGTTTTTTTTGTAAGACTTTGGAAAATATATATGCAGAAAATTGGGTATGTAGTCAGGGACGTAACAAGACATATGTGCGGGCCATGGTGCAACACCAAATATAGGTACGGGTCCCCTCGGCGTCATTAAAAAAAAGTCAACTGTAACATATAGTACTAGGAATCCACCGATACTGATATTAATATTATATCGGCCGCCGATAGCTGATACATTCATATAATTATGGTGTGGCCGGGATAATCGGGAAATCCTGGAATTGTTTCTTATTAGTTTGATTCGTGGATTAAATAATTTGATTCGTAGTTTAATTATTTAATTAATCAATCCGTGAATTAAATTAATCGATCCATGAATTAAATGAATTGGACTAATAATTATATAATTAAACTACGAATCAAATTGATTAATGCGCGAATCAAACTATTTAGAAGAAATTCTAAGAAATCAAACGCCTAATTAAGTTAATCGACCCGCGGATTAACTTAATTACCTACATAGTAATCAATTTAATTGATGACGTCATCAATTAAATCAAATGTCAATAAAGCTCAAAATCGTACCAATTTTGAATTAATTTATCAAAGTCCAAATTCCAAAAAATTCCCGGAAATAATTTACAATTTACTTATTGTTCATCAAAAGAATTTTTTCTTAATTGGTAATACAGTGAAATCACTTAATTCATTTTAATGTTGGGGATACTGCACATCAATTTTTGAATTTTACCACTTTGCTAAGGCGATGTCTGTAGTTTGCTGGTGGGGAGATACAAATGCAGCACAAATAGTTATTTGTTTCATTAGTACAAAAAATGTCAGTTTTCGGGACGAGGAAGATAGTTGCTGGACGACGCGTTAGCGGAGTCCAGCAACCTTCCGAATCCCGAAAACGCATTTTTTGTACGAATAAAACATAAAATTTTTTCTCCAACCCCCTTTACTTCAAATTATATTCGAATTTAGATTCAGTCACAGTTTCACTACTATAGTATAAGAACTTCTGCTTTCTTGTCCTCACGTGTCATGCCACTCTAGTTTTTAGGTTAACTTATTACCTATTCGTTCTTACTTCTTACTTCTCACCTCTCGCGACTTTTTAGGGAGCAAATCTTGAGGTAGCATGTTCTGCCGTTTCTATAATCTCTGGCGGAGTGCAATCCATGTCGCTATCAGTTTCAGTCATTTTATTGTATACACAATTAATATTGTTATATTTTGTATTGAAATAAAATACTTACCATACAGTTTTTTAATTAAAATTAATTGCAATTAACTTTTTCAAATTTTGAATTCAAAATGACAGATAATAGTGCAATGGGTCTGAAGTAGATGACGTTACGCGCGACGACGGGTTGTATACGTATTAAAATTACGTTCATCGAATATGTAAATTACGTTACACATGGTTTAAATAAAAATAGCGAGCGTAAATCATTTTCAATACATGTACATACGTATAGGTAACATCATTATTTGCATTGAATAAGCAAAAATATTTTATTTGTATGTATAGAAATATCTTACAACCTGCAATGTAAAACGATGTCAATGTGACATATCTCCGTGATTGTAATTT